ACAAGATGGTATGCAGAACAGGAGAGGGGAGGCTTCGACTGACAACCAAATGATGTTGTTTTACCTGTTGGAGGATGTTTAGAGAGAGGGGAGCTGCTTAGTATGCAGTTGTGGGACACAGAGACGTGCTAAATAAGCTGTCATACATTGTTTGGATAATCAGCTGGCACCGCTTCAGAGATTTCAGACTGGGAAAGATGGACGGATCTGATTTGCATTTCATTGCATGAGATTTGCCATAGGGAAGCAGATGCTGAAATCATACGTCGCTACGTTGTTTAAATATACTTTTCAGGATTTTAGATGAAAGAAATAGTGAAACTGCATCCTTGAAACAGCTTAAAATTATGTAAATTTTATTCAGTTATGGATTTAGGGCTTTTAAAAAAATAGATTGACAGGAGCCGATAAGCTTTGCTGACTGTTGTTTGTAGCTAATTTTTTATTTTCTCCCAAGTGCATCATTTCAATTCATAATCTTGTTTTTTTCTGGATTAGATGAAGATGCACTTTAAAACATATCAAATAATTTACATCAATACAATATATTTCTGATGATATCTGTTTTACAATTTCATTTTTGGCTTTGGCGCAAAAAGAGGTAACACTAAAGATTATTGTTCAAAAGTCCATTTACTTCCGTAATTCAGCTTACAATGTGCCAAATTCACTACATGCCAATTTATTTATGTATTTATTTATTACTGGGATAGTGCATATTAATGAACATTTCTGTAAATATGCCAGAATTAGCCAAACGGCTATTTTTCATCCGTAGTCCCATGTCTCCTGAAAAGATAAAAACATGTTTGCTACACAGTTAAAATAATGTGAGATATTTACAATATTTACAAGGACAAGACAGTAAAACATTCGGTCATACATCGTTCAACAAACAACAATACACAATCACATGGAGACTGACATAGAACTCATACAGGCTCACACAGAGCATTAGGCCAGCAGGGGGCAGCGAGAACAGGTGGAGTCAGTGCTGACAGGTGTGATTATCAATGAGCCAGTGTTTTAACTGTGTTTTGTACGTGAGGTAAGAGGGTGCATTTCTGATAGTTATGGGTAGGACGTTCCAATCTGAGGTGGCACGGACGGAGAATGAAGATTGACCAAATGTGCTTTTCCTGAGGGGGGTGATACAGTCCCCTCTCGCTGCCCCCCTGGTCCTGGTGTGGGTGCTGTTTCTGGTATTGATGAACTGACTGAGAGGTGGGGATGAAAGACCATGAAGGATTTCCTCCTCAATATACCAATTCTTTATTTTGTATGGTGTTGATAATTAGCTCCCTGTTGGTAAAAACCTAAATAAAACGTCTCAGATCATTTGAATAGTTTGAAAATGGACTGTGAGCCATAATCACTAACATTATAACATGTATAGCTTGACATATGTATCTTTGTGAGTAATGATTCTATATGATGTATTGCGTTCACATTTCAAGTAAATGTCCAAATAACTTTTTAATTTTACCTGTATTTCTCAATACGTCTTTCCATGTGATAAAACTATATAAACTAGAGATGTTATATCTGTTTGACGCTAGAGTTAGAGATATTATTTTATTTTATTTAGTATAGAGTTGTTATTCATTTATCATATGCTGCGTGCTACTCATTCCTACTGTTCTGTAACTGGTGATGCAACACTGAAATGTACCCACTGTGGAATCAATAAAGGATCTAAAACATTGCCATTAGATTTATCACATACACTGTCTATAGTCAAATGCTACAACCACAGTAGAATACAACGGCAGACATCCCAGTTCATATGATTTCCAACAGACAAACATAAATATTTCAGCTTTTTTCTCCTCGCCCACTTGGTGTCTTTCTTCAGGTGAGCAGTGAGGTTAGAAGCCAGTGACCTACTTCAATAATAAGGAACAATCCAATCCATCTGCAAGCAAGACGCCAACTCTCAGGCTATCCCTTATGAACAGCCTATATTTTATTCATGTGGATATTAACAGCACACCGCACTAGATAGAATTCAAGACATTTATCGTTACACTATATTCGGCTCAAGGTTTTTCAAAATGCCCGGACAATTTCGCCAGATAGATTCGGTGATTAGTTAGAGCTCATTGGCTTCGGAAAACAAAAGTGATCGTAATCTGGAGAAACAGGTTTGGTAGCTGTACCTCTCTCCGTGGCCGGGTAAGGAGGGGTGCCAGCCATTAGACCCCCATTAGCGGAGTGCCTGGGAGGTTCTGCTCTGGGCCATCTGCAGATTTATGATAGCGCTGGCCCACGCACTGCTGACCCTCTTCAAGCTGGGCCTTTGTGAGCTTGCACCACAAATACAGTTAATGGATCCGCACAATGTGACTCCGTGGCCCGCCGATGATGGATCTGACTGAAACACAGTGGAGTTCTGTGGGACGGGTGCCAGCGCTACGAGGACGTCTTCTGGTGGTAAGTGTTTTCCAGCTAAAGACACGATGAAGTATTTGAACTGTTTTGTTCTTTGACCGTAAATATTCGACTTATTGCGAAGCTGTTTACTGTACTGTAGATAAATCTGATACATTAGGGATTAAATATATTTATTAGTCCAGGTTCTGAACTGTGTGTGTAAAGTAAAATACCAGGTGAGGTTTTTGTGGTTTAGTTCTATCATAAATCAATGATAAGGAAAGGTTACATTACACTGTTCCCACAGGGACATTTGTCCTCTGCATTTAACCCATCCTTCAATGCCACTAAACCCTTGTAGCATTGAAGAATGAGTTAAATGACTTGGTGATGGGTTCCCCTAGTGACTAGGGGAACCTGTCAGAAGCAGTGGTCGCTTCAGTGCAGAGCCTGGGGGCCCATCGGCAGATGTTGATTCTTGGCCTTTGCTTGAGGATTTTCCTTGTGGTGATTTTTGGGTGGGGGTAAACCACACAAGTCTGGAGGAAACCAGCCAGAACTATGTGAGGGTCTTAACCCCTATCCGGAGCTGGCCATTTCTGTGCTGTGTTTGGTCACATTTGATTGGACAACTAATTATTCAATCAGTGGAAACAGGACGTTTCTCAGGATGTTTCTCACAGTAAGTAGTGTGTGACTTACTCCTATAAACTGCACCTGTGGACTGTCTTCCCCGGCCTGACTCGTGGGCAAGACTCCCCTCCCCGCCTGAGAGTGAGCCTCAGTCCCATCACATCACATGGGCTCAGTCCTCGTTCTACAACTTGAGACCTGGATCTGTAGCCCGTCTGTCTGTGGGAGGGGATCCCTCCCTCAATGTGGGCCTTCCCTCAGGTTTCTCACTTTTTTCACACTGTGTTTGTTTGTTTGTTTGGTGATGTTGTTGGTGATGATCCAGGACAAAAACGACATTTATGGACATCAGGTGTTTTGTATCTTTGCATTTCCTGTGTTTGAACTGTTTGATTCTCTGATCTGTGTTGGTGAATTAACAACTTTTTAAAGTCCTTCGAGATAACGACAAAAATAAATGTAATTTAATTGAATAGCCTGTTGTGTAAAACCATGAGGTGGCTGCCATCTTGGATTTTGCTCAGTGGGGCTGTGTCCAAAATTGAGCAAGAATATCTCCTTGTACTTTCTTATGGTTCAAAAGTGAGCATTGAGGAGATCAGGTTTGATCAAGTAGGGGCAACAGTGGCTCAGATGGTAGAGCATTGGCCTCAGAGCTTGAAGGATGGATGATTTGATCAAATGACAAGGCTAAATTTACTAGCCAGATGCACATCTCCAGTCATTAGCAGGAAGTTCCTGGGTTCGATTACCTGTATAATACAGTATACTGGCTCCCTGTTCCATACCGCATCCAGTACAAGGTCCTCCTCCTCCTCCTCACCTGCAAGTCCTTCCAAGCCTTCGCTGCCCCCACTCTCTGGAACTCACTCCCTCCACCCATCAGAAACTCAGACTACACTGCAGAACTTTAAATCTCTTCTAAAAACCCATCTGTTTCAGCCTTTGCATAATTTTGTTTCTCAATGTTTCTTTCTATGTGTTTTGTCTTTGAGTGTCCAAAGATGCGCTGTATAAGTTTGATGTATTATTATTATTATTTTAATAAGTATAGCTATAATTAATTTACCTTGTGCTGTGTGCTCCTCATTCCTACTGTTCTGTAACTTGTGATGCAACACTGGAATTTCCCCGCTGTGGGACTCTGTAGAATGAAAAGTGTCTGTGCAGAGAAAAAGCCTTGTCCAATGTATTTTAATCTTGTTTTAACAGTCAGATAAAGATTGTACGTAGCTGTCAAAAGTTTAAATGTTTCAAGTGTGTGTTTGTATCTATTGTGTGGCCTAATCTACTGGGTTTCCTCAAAGGCACCATGAAATAAAATCTACATTTATTATTATTCAAAGTATCAAGAATCAGATTTTAGTCAATACTTAAACTAGTTACTCATGGAGAAAGTATCGATCTTGAAAATAATAAAACAGTAAACACGTGAGACTCTTAGAGCAGTTTTGAAAAAATATATATAAACCGTTACCAAGTACCATCTGCAAATACAGGAGGGTCAAAGGGCAGTGATCGAAGGGCAATTATGATACACACAAACACAACTAAACAGAAATACAATTTCTGACATTTTATTGAACACAGGGTAAGTGTCAGTCAAGTAAATCGGTCAATAAGTACAACAAATCAAAACACAAATGTGTTAATTTTTCAATCAATAAACCCAATTAGACCGAATCAAATATTCACACAAATCAAATAACTCAACAACAATGAAAATGGTATATTAATACGCAGGAAATTTAACTCTGAACTTGAAACTATTAGAAAATTATGGAAAAACTCTGAACTTGAAACAAAGGAAATTGTGGAAAAAATCCCCAAAAAAGTGAAGTTCGTTTAAAAGTGATATATTCACTAGCTAAAACTGGTGAATTTATCTGCAATACAGAAAAACATGCTAACTGCATGTAAACAGTGTGTTGCTATGGTAATTAGCACCGGCTCCAACAGCTCTGACACAGGCCCAGTCCAGGACCGGTCCACACTCACACAGATGCGGTGGAGTCCGTGTGGCAGTCGAAGAAATAATCCATGGTCTGAAAACACACACACAACATGAGAATGAATGAAAAAACTGGAACCCAGAGGTCCTGAGCTTTACAAAGAGGTTTCAACATGGCCACAGACTAAGACGTCTGTGTGTGAGAGCGTGCACGTGGGTGTGTGTGTGTGTGTGTGTGTGTGTGTACCTCGGGGCAGATGTCGTGGTCCAGGTCCTGTTGCAGGTCCCTGAAGAACTCCATGCCCCATTGTGGGAACAGGTCTAAGACTCTCTGCAGAGCTTCCAGACTCAGAGAGTGGACGGTGCAGCCGCCCACAACCTGCAGCGTGTCACGGGACACAGGACTCTTCCTCATCTGCCAGGTTCCAAACAACGCTCCTGGGCCTGAAACATTCACCTTTCATTAACATTTGATTCAATCCAATAAATTAAAAAAAACAGTTTGTGGACACTCCACATTCAACCACATTTATGGACATTGGTCTCTACTCCTTATGGACCAAAGTGTTTGAACTGTTTGATTTTCTGATCTGTGTTGGAGAATCAACAGTTGTGTAAAGTCCTTTATGACTACTGTTGTGATTCAGGGCGAGACAGGAAAAAATGAAATAGAATTGATCCAAGAACAAACCCAGTAAGTCTCCATTCGGCAGCTGCAGCGCTCCACTGCTGACCATGTGCAGCGCCTGCACCACCTCGCCCTTGTGGATGAACACGTCTCCATGGCGATGGGTGGAGACGCTCACATGAAGGGCCAGATCCTTCTTCACTCTGGCGTCGCCGCGCTTGAACAGGGGCCGGTCCAGGATTTGGTGAAACAAGTGCAGGTGGATTTTACTGTAGATGTCCTCCGGGAAATCCTGGAGCAGCTGCAAGTTTAGAGATGTCAGTTTAGAGTTGTCACTTTAAAGATGTCACTTTAGAGATGTCACTTTAGAGATGTCACTTTAGAGAAGCAGGAGGAAGATCCAGGACACTCCACAGTCCACATTTATCAACAGTCTTTGGTCTTCTCCTTATGGACCAATGGCTCTGTGAGTTTTGTATCATTGCATTTCCTGTGTTTTAACATGTTGCACACTTCCAGTCATTTTGCACCTGATTAATATATTCATGCCAAATGTACATTTCTCCATTGTGAGATAAATAACGTTTTTGAAACGGTTTGATTCTCTGATCTGTGTTGACAAATTTGACTTAAAGTCCTGTACAAGAATAAAATGAATTGAATTGCATTTATCCAAAGCCCATCTCACCACTTGGTGCTTGATCCCCTGAGACGCCCAGGTGTTTTTGGCGTAGCAGCGCATAATTCTGCTCAGGTCCTCCGGAAACTGGTGCTCTGTGATGAACTTTTTTAGCTCATTCATGCGGACGTGGAAGTTGGAGAGACCGGCGTAGAGGCGGTAGATTATGGCTGACACGTTCCCAAAGATGAGGGCATGCATCAGAGCTGCAGAAGAGTCAGACAAAAACTTTAAGATATTTGATTATGATACAAAAAGTCTGACTGCTGCAGCTGTTCTGTAAACAAGACTCAGACCTCCTCACTCCCTCAGGTCCACAGACTCAGACCTCCTCACTCCCTCAGGTCTACAGACTCAGACCTCCTCACTCCCTCAGGTCCACAGACTCAGACCTCCTCACTCCCTCAGGTCCACAGACTCAGACCTCCTCACTCCCCCAGACCCACAGACTCAGACCTCCTCACTCCCTCAGGTCCACAGACTCAGACCTCCTCACTCCCTCAGGTCCACAGACTCAGACCTCCTCACTCCCTCAGGTCCACAGACTCAGACCTCCTCCCTCCCTCAGGTCCACAGACTCAGACCTCCTCACTCCCTCAGGTCCACAGACTCAGACCTCCTCACTCCCTCAGGTCCACAGACTCAGACCTCCTCACTCCCTCAGACCCACAGACTCAGACCTCCTCACTCCCTCAGGTCCACAGACTCAGACCTCCTCACTCCCTCAGACCCACAGACTCAGACCTCCTCACTCCCTCAGGTCCACAGACTCAGACCTCCTCACTCCCTCAGGTCCACAGACTCAGACCTCCTCACTCCCTCAGGTCCACAGACTCAGACCTCCTCACTCCCTCAGGTCCACAGACTCAGACCTCCTCACTCCCTCAGGTCCACAGACTCAGACCTCCTCACTCCCCCAGACCCACAGACTCAGACCTCCTCACTCCCTCAGACCCACAGACTCAGACCTCCTCACTCCCTCAGGTCCACAGACTCAGACCTCCTCACTCCCTCAAGTCCACAGGGTCGGACCTCCTCACTCCCTCAGACCTCCTCACTCCCTCAGACCCACAGACTCAGACCTCCTCACTCCCTCAGGACCACAGACTCAGACCTCCTCACTCCCTCAGGTCCACAGACTCAGACCTCCTCACTCCCTCAGGTCCACAGACTCAGACCTCCTCACTCCCTCAGGTCTACAGACTCAGACCTCCTCACTCCCTCAGGTCCACAGACTCAGACCTCCTCCCTCCCTCAGGTCCACAGACTCAGACCTCCTCACTCCCTCAGGTCCACAGACTCAGACCTCCTCACTCCCTCAGGTCCACAGACTCAGACCTCCTCACTCCCTCAGGTCCACAGACTCAGACCTCCTCACTCCCTCAGGTCCACAGACTCAGACCTCCTCACTCCCTCAGGTCCACAGACTCAGACCTTCTCACTCCCTCAGGTCCACAGACTCAGACCTCCTCACTCCCTCAGGTCCACAGACTCAGACCTCCTCACTCCCTCAGGTCCACAGACTCAGACCTCCTCACTCCCTCAGGTCCACAGACTCAGACCTCCTCACTCCCTCAGGTCCACAGACTCAGACCTTCTCACTCCCTCAGGTCCACAGACTCAGACCTCCTCACTCCCTCAGGTCCACAGACTTAGACCTCCTCACTCCCTCAGGTCCACAGACTCAGACCTCCTCACTCCCTCAGGTCCACAGACTCAGACCTCCTCACTCCCTCAGGTCTACAGACTCAGACCTCCTCACTCCCTCAGGTCCACAGACTCAGACCTCCTCACTCCCTCAGGTCCACAGACTCAGACCTCCTCACTCCCTCAGGTCCACAGACTCAGACCTCCTCCCTCCCTCAGGTCCACAGACTCAGACCTCCTCACTCCCCCAGACCCACAGACTCAGACCTCCTCACTCCCTCAGGTCCACAGACTCAGACCTCCTCACTCCCCCAGACCCACAGACTCAGACCTCCTCACTCCCTCAGGTCCACAGACTCAGACCTCCTCACTACCTCATGTAGAAAATAAGGCAACATTTCTGTAAATGAGACTAAAGGGCTTTGGCCCATTGTAGAATCTTGTTTTACCACAGAATGTACACAAATTGGATAAAAAACATTTGATTCCAAAAAAATTATCTCATATTTGAGATACATTTTTTGCAGTGCAATAGTAGTTTGTGTTTGTCTGAACACGTGTGGATGTGCAGTACCTCCAGACAACATGAGGCAGGTGGCAAACCACTTTTCAGGTTTGGTGTTCGGGCTGATGTTCCCGAAGCCCACAGTCGTCATGCTGCTCACGGTGAAGTACAAGGCCCCCGTGTAGGCATCTGCCTCAGAGAGACCCCCTGTCCTGTTGGCCATGTATGGCCGCTCCAGCCTCTCTGCCATTTGGGCCAGCCACCCTGAGGAGGAGAGAAATCATGACAAATCGTGCTGCACAAATCATGACATTTGTATTTGTTAAACAAGAGTCCTAAGCAGGGGTGGGCCGTTCATTTTTTCCGGGGGTCACGTTAAGATATTGGCATATTATTGTGGAGGTTCTGACACAGACACACACACACACACACATGTAGACACACACAATACAAAAGCTACAACCCCAATGTGTGGATTTAAAATGACCTTTAAAACAATCTACTTAATAAATGTAACATATTGCAGTCATTTGCCGATGTGGCCAGTAAATCCATTCAACAGTAGTTTTCTTTTTAAAAAACAGTGGATTCTCCAACAACAGATCAGCAAATTAAACAGCTCAAATGTAAGAAATGCAAGGATAAAAAAACACATAGAGCCATTGGTGCATATTATAATGGGGGAGAGACCAAAGTCCATATATGTTGATCAAGTTCTACCCTGGCCTTATTCCTCTGTAAACACATGATTATTTACCACATGTACGTCTGGGTCAGATCTTAGTGGCTGTAGTCTCCTCGGTTGAATCCCCTTGGACCATTCAGCGAGCGCTGGAGGCGGGAGTTGTAGGTAGGTGTTGGTGACGTCAAGAGTTTGTGCTGAATTTGCTGTTTGTAGTTTGACAATGGCGCCGAATGCGATAGTAAAGTAATCCGTTCTGGTTCAGCTCCAAAAATTAAAAAATAAATTGAAGTCGGAGCAAGAGGAATGTTTAGCAAATGTCATTGCTGCAAAGATGTTGTGGCTCTACTCCCAACTGGTTTCATTGGTGGCAAAGAAGATGGCTAAAGCGAGGCTAAATGCTAAATCTAGGCTAAATTCTAAATTCCTTACTCACTCTGGAGCATTACAAACTCAGATCTGCAGAAGGAGTTAACCCCACACACCTGTTAATGGAGCTCAATGAAGCAAATCAAGACCTAAATATGAAATGAAATTAGTACAATGGTGTTGTAAAACCGAGGTGGCAAAGTCCACAAATGTTGATAAAGTGAGCGATCACTCACCCGCGTGCCAGTGCGACGTCCCGAGGTCGAACAGGCCGATCTCGTACCACACACAGGCGGCCCAGTGAGCGATCAGTGTGAAGGAGAACATCAGGATGGACAGGACCAAGGTGCTGTTGGCCGAGTACTTCTCCAGCTTCTTGATCAGCCGCACCAGCCGCACCAGCCTCACGGTCTTCATCAGGTGCATCATGTCGATCTGGCAGCAACACACGACCAAATAGTTTGTCAAAAAACTTTTATTACTCAAGCAAAAATCTTCAACGTGATTTGTTATTATTATCTTTAGATTTCAATTCTTTCTTGGATTGAACCAAACTGGACTAAAACTAAAGAAGGCAGAGTTGTAAAAGGACTGGCCTCCTGCCGGTCTCAGAGTCAGGACTAAACAATCAGATTCATGCAGATAAAATCTAGAACAATCTCCCTGAAAATGTGAGACAGGCTTCTACTCTGACAATGTTCAAATCCAGGTTAAAACCTCTCTGTCTGTGCTACAACTGAAGAACTGTATCTTCACTCTTTTTTGCTGTACTGGCATTATTCTTGAGCACTTTGAGTTTCCTTATGCATGACCTGTGCCTGTGCTATACAAATAAACCCGCCTCGCTGATGGACTCACCACGTGAATGTTGAAGATGTGGAGCAGGTCCAGGGGAGTGGCGGCGATGATGTCAATGAGGAGCCAGAACTTCACGTAGCGCACGCAGATGGAGCGGCTGTCGGTCACCAGTACCTCCTCCACTTCATAGCTGGTCCGGAAGTTCACCAAGATGTCTGCCAGCGCCACACCAGACACCACCGGATATGAAGCCAATATTTTTATATTTTTAATAAGAATTTACTGGTCTAACCCTCGGTCAAAATGAACACAATGAAAGCACTCACCCAGGACAAAGAAGATCTCCATGATGGTGTCCAGCCCCAGGGTGGGTCGGTTTGCCAGGTTGGCTCTCATGAAGGTGATCTCGTAGGGCACGATGATGGCGATGTAGAGGGTGGCCACGTTGACAATAATGTCCCAGAGAGTGCGCGCTATTCCTCCGTGGTTCAGCAGCGGGCATCCATTGTGGAACAGCAGGGAAGGAGGCCACGGATCCACACTAGCCTTGGACCTGGAAACCACAGGCTGGTCCTCAGACTTGTCCTCAGGCTCAGGGACCTCCACACAACACACAGCACAGGTATATAAATATATAGATACAGGTAGATAGATAGATCTAAATACCTAGATAGATGTAGGTAGTTAGATCGAAAGATACTGTAGATAGCGTTTCTACTACACACAGTATGTGTTTGTATATTCTATACAAACACATACTTCTCTGATTTGAAAAGGCCATAAACACATGACACAACATTTGAAAACTGCTTGAGAGGAAAGTTAGGTACCCCAGCTTTAATTTTTGTTCACACCAAAATCCAAGATCATGTAATGCACATGCAATATTTTGTGAGTTGAATTGTCATGGAAATGTTGTTGAGAAAAAGCCATCACCATAGAGATGTTTTTGTTTACCTTTTACATGGTGCAAAATGAGTGAAAATAATATAAAACATATTTTAGGGTTTGATGGAGTTGTATTAAAACACAGACTGCTAAATATCACTGCAAAAAGTGACATTAAAGACAATTTGCCAATTGTAAAAAAGACATTTGCAGGAGATGTGAATAGTATCTGGATGCAGTGAGACTAGCTTACAGCTGTTACTTTATCTTTGTAAACTAGTTACATGTGCTAGTTACATGTGCTAGTTACATGTGCTAGTTACATGTGCTAGTTACATGTGCTAGTTACATGTGCTAGTTACATGTGCTAGTTACATGTGCTAGTTACATGTGCTAGTTACATGTGCTAGTTACATGTGCTAGTTACATGTGCTAGTTACATGTGCTAGCTACATGTGCTAGCTACATGTGCTAGTTACATGTGCTAGTTACATGTACTAGTTACATGTGCTAGCTACATGTGCTAGTTACATGTGCTAGCTACATGTGCTAGTTACATGTGCTAGCTACATGTGCTAGTTACATGTGCTAGTTACATGTGCTAGCTACATGTGGTAGTTACATGTACTAGTTACATGTGCTAGTTACATGTGCTAGTTACATGTGCTAGTTACATGTGCTAGTTACATGTGCTAGTTACATGTGCTAGTTACATGTGCTAGTTACATGTGCTAGTTACATGTGCTAGTTACATGTACTAGTTACATGTGCTAGTTACATGTGGTAGTTACATGTACTAGTTACATGTGGTAGTTACATTACTAGTTACATGTGCTAGTTACATGTGCTAGTTACATGTGCTAGTTACATGTGCTAGTTACATGTGCTAGTTACATGTGCTAGTTACATGTGCTAGCTACATGTGCTAGCTACATGTGCTAGCTACATGTGCTAGTTACATGTGCTAGTTACATGTGCTAGTTACATGTGCTAGCTACATGTGCTAGTTACATGTGCTAGTTACATGTGGTAGTTACATGTGCTAGCTACATGTGCTAGCTACATGTGCTAGTTACATGTGCTAGCTACATGTGCTAGCTACATGTGCTAGTTACATGTGCTAGTTACATGTGCTAGCTACATGTGCTAGCTACATGTGCTAGCTACATGTGCTAGTTACATGTGCTAGTTACATGTGCTAGTTACATGTGCTAGCTACATGTGCTAGTTACATGTGCTAGTTACATGTGGTAGTTACATGTGCTAGCTACATGTGCTAGCTACATGTGCTAGTTACATGTGCTAGTTACATGTGCTAGTTACATGTGCTAGCTACATGTGCTAGTTACATGTGCTAGCTACATGTGCTAGTTACATGTGCTAGTTACATGTGCTAGTTACATGTGCTAGTTACATGTGCTAGTTACATGTGCTAGTTACATGTGCTAGCTACATGTGCTAGTTACATGTGCTAGCTACATGTGCTAGTTACATGTGCTAGCTACATGTGCTAGTTACATGTAATAGCTACATGTGCTAGTTACATGTGCTAGTTACATGTGGTAGTTACATGTACTAGTTACATGTGCTAGCTACATGTGCTAGTTACATGTGCTAGCTACATGTGCTAGTTACATGTGCTAGCTACATGTGCTAGTTACATGTGCTAGTTACATGTGCTAGCTACATGTGGTAGTTACATGTACTAGTTACATGTGGTAGTTACATTACTAGTTACATGTGCTAGTTACATGTGCTAGTTACATGTGGTAGTTACATGTGCTAGTTACATGTGCTAGTTACATGTGCTAGTTACATGTGCTAGTTACATGTGCTAGTTACATGTGCTAGTTACATGTGCTAGCTACATGTGCTAGCTACATGTGCTAGCTACATGTGCTAGTTACATGTGCTAGTTACATGTGCTAGTTACATGTGCTAGCTACATGTGCTAGTTACATGTGCTAGTTACATGTGGTAGTTACATGTGCTAGCTACATGTGCTAGCTACATGTGGTAGTTACATGTACTAGTTACATGTGGTAGTTACATTACTAGTTACATGTGCTAGTTACATGTGCTAGTTACATGTGCTAGTTACATGTGCTAGTTACATGTGGTAGTTACATGTGCTAGTTACA